TATGACTATCATAAATGATGTTACCAAATAGTAGTTATGTAAAATGTTACAGAATTATATTTTATGGCATGAAACAATGACAGTATAACTAAATGAAACAAATGGAGTACTGGCATGGTCAGTTACTTCAACAATCTCAGCCTGAGTTACCTAATGAGTTTCAGTATGGCCTGGTCTACAAAGTGGTACCCTATCTAAAACCTCCAAATAGATTCAAAGCAATGTGAATAGTATGGATGCATCTCAATTTTAAATGCTTGTTTATTTTTTAAAAGTTATGAACAGACCCGGCAGTGGTGGCACATGCCTTTAATTCTAGCACTCTAAAGGCAGAGGCAGGCCGATCTCTGTGAGTTAGAGACCAGCAGGGTCTACAGAGAAGTTCCAGGACAGCCAGGGCTACACAGAGAAACCTTGTCTCAAAAAACAAAACAAAAAAAAGTTATAAAAAGTGGATACGCAGAGTTGCCATTTACCAGCAGTAGGGGAGCTTCAGAGGCTTCAATTCAAGAATTCACTTAAGTTGAATTGCCTGTGTAGGCATCTAAAAGAATTTGAATAGCTTGCTGGAAATGAAGTCTCAAATTTAGAGGAGAGGACTGGACTAGAAATACACAATTGGGATACTCAACCTGTGGGTGATATTTTTTATAGCCAGGGGACTGGTAAAGACTTCAAGAGCTAGTGAAGAGAGACACAAATGAGAATCCAGCATAGAGGGGAGGCTGTAACAAGCACTCTTTCCCACCAGCCTACTTCCACAGCAGTGTCAGTCCCAAATGAACACACAGACACTATACTAATTGGCCAGTGACTTGGGATTCTTATTGGCTAGCTCTGTCTTAACTATTAACCCATTTCTATTAATCTATGTATTTCCACGTGGTCTTATCTTACCAGAGAAGGGTCCAGACCTCTTACCCCTTTGTGGTTTCACATGGCGGTCTGACTCTGACTACATTTCCCAGAATTCTCATCTCCTAGACCTGTTTATCTTGCTGCCCTATTAGCCAACAGTGTTTTATTCATCAACCAAGATGAGAAACATATGTACAGAAGACAACCCCATCAGGAGGCAATGGAAAGAGAAATCTATGCCAGTTAGAGCTGATTCCTATCAAAGAAACACAGGAATGGTCAATGCATATGAGGTTCTTGAAAATCATAGTCTTAACTTAAAACTGTTACTATGGTTACTTGGTGGTATGCTAATTCTGTTTAAACCAGGGGAGAAGGGTAAATAAAATGTAGCTGCTATTTAAGGAAACAATGAGTTTGTTTTTAGAAATGTTTTGAGAAGTCAGAATTTGTAATTTAGTAATTAGCCAACTATAACAATCCAACTTGGGTATGTTTTCAATGTCAAACTGATATATTAGAAAGACAGGTCATCTTCAAACACTTCAGAGATCCACAGAATACGGCATTTAACATGTTCTAACAAGTTCTAACATGTTATGACAATGAGACATGTCTGCTCCTGGCAGCACCAATTTACGTCAGAGAAGATGATGGGCATCGAAGAAACTCCACATGGAGTTTGAGTTCTTTGTGGTAAAGGTGAGCCACTGTGCAAGAAAGTGCACTTGCCTCAACTGCTGACAGTTTGCTGTCCAAATTGGACATACAGGACACCAAAAAGAGTGACTGCAAACCTTGTCTAGACAAGGTGGTCCAGTCCTTCAGGCTATCCTAGTTCACAGAATGTCTTTCAGATGTGCTAGGCCTATTGACTGAAGATGGATGCCCAAAAGGTACAGAGCAATCTCGAGTGACTGCACAGGAAGCCAGCTGTTTCTGTCATTTCTCACATTCTTTGGAAGTCATTTGCTTGCACTTCCTGCTTGCTCAGTTAATCTTACTTCCTTGTTGGGTCTCTGAGGGAGTTGAAGACTAAATAGTACAGTTAAAGTTTTTTCTGTTTACCAGAATCAGTAAAGAAACTCACTATAGATGTATTAAGTATAATAGGTTTAAAAAGACCTTAAAAGATAATTTGATATGCATATTAGAATAGAAAGTAAATTAGGTACAAGACTTTAAGCCCACCAAGAAAGAATAGATAATGGAGTATTTTCTCAAAATTTGTCTTATGCTTATGAACTAGACATTGTACTTATTGCCATGTATATATTGTATATAGCTATTTTTCTTATTGTACATAGTTTTTCTCATATTGGTTATCTTTTATTTTTTAGACAGAAAAGAGGGATATGTGGTGATATTTTGCACAAATAAAGCCTGTCTGGGATTCAGAGAATGTAGCTTGCCACTAGCTAACCATAGAGATCTGGAGGTCTATACAGTTAGGCAGGAAGTGACATACTGGGCAGAAACTGCCACTAGCTAACCATAGAGGTCTGGAGGTCTATACAGACAGGCAGGAAGTAATGTAGCTGGGCAGTAACAGAATATAAGCAAGGACAAAGAGGAAATCACTCTCTTCTCTGTGGAGACACTTAGGATTTAAGGTGTGCTGTGGCTTGCTCCTTCTCTCTCATCTCTCAGCACTTCCCTCTATAGCTGATTCTGGTCTTTTATTATCTAGATCAATTCAGGACTCCATTTACACTTTATCTGGATGAATGCTCAATAAGGGCACTGAGATTTAGAGTAGAAGCAGGCTGACTTCTAGATGTGGAGTTACTCAAACGCCCATGGTAACTGGTCCAGTACTGTGACCATCCTTATCTATTCATCTCATGATGAATAGGGCTAGATGATACAGAACTCTATAATTGCAAATAATTTATTCCTTCTTCTGTTCATTATTTGTAGCTAGTTTGTTTCTTATAAGAGGCATTCACTGTGCGAACAATTAGGAGCCAGTAATCAAAACTGAAATACCATGCAAAAACCATTTCCCTCAATGTTTGCTTAGACATTTCCTATCATTTACTCATGCATAATAAGAAAAAGGAGCCCAAGTATTTCTGGATGACCAATAAAACCATAGGAAGCTTCACACTGATAGCTTTTAGTTTGCATGATGCTAATCTCTTCATAATGTATTTATTTATATATAAGGTCATTAGCACCAAAAGCCCATGTCAAAGTTTAACATTACATGATTTTTAAGGTTTATTTTATGTGCATGAGTGGTGAGAGTTTTCTGCGCATGTATGTATATGCACCATGTGCATGTCCAGTGCCATTGGAGGTCAGAAGAGGGAGGTTTATATTCTGGAACTGCAGTTGTGGAAGCCTGTGAACTACCATGTGGGTGTTGAGAATCAAACTGGATCATCTGCAAGAACCACTGTTCTTAACCACTGAACTATCTCTCCAGCCCCCAAATAGACTCCATGGTTTCTGTATGCCTCCAAATAGACTCCATGTTTTTGGCATTTTTATCATATTGGTATTTGTAATTTGTTTATATCTTGACACTAGTTTTTTTTGCCTTTTGTTTTATTTTGTTTTGTTTTTCCTGTTTCTTTTTTTAGAAGGGATGGAAAAAACATGAAATTAGTTGGGTAGGTCAGTGGGAAGAATCTTGGAGGGGTTAGGAGAGTGGGGAAGGGGAAGAATATGATCAAAATATATTGTATGAAAAATTTTAGTAATAAATTTTTAATAAGATCAAAGTGTAACATCACTATTTGGCTATCAAATGAAATTTACTATTTTATTTCATTGGTTTTGCATATTTTAATCAAGAATCAGAATCAGATCACTAACATCTATCAGTTCCAACTCTGATCATACTACTGAGAAGAAACCAGTAGGAAATATGATCATTTGTAATTATGGTCTAATGATAAGCAGAACTGGAGGTGGTGGATTATAATTAGGCACATTCTTATTCTAGTAAACTCAACAGCTGAATGTTAACTGTTTTCTGTGAAATTTTTCATTGTTTATGTGATCAAATATTTTCTTCCATGTGGAGGATTTTAGAAACTGGGAATAAATTTTAACTTTTCTTTTAAAAGTAATATACCACTAAAAGTTCTTGGGGAGAAATGTGAAAATATTAATTTTATGGAAGTTCTCTATTCAAGCATGTCTAGCACTAGGCTAAGTACTTTATTAACACAGACTTCTTCCACGAAGGAGGTGGAATTATCTTGACATTTGCAGTTATAAAATCCCTAGTTTCAGGTGCTGATTTCCAAAGGTCCCCTAAGTTTTTTCGCATATATACTTGATTTTGAAAGCAAGAATACCTGACAGCCAAGTTCAGCATGCTCTCCTGGCAACGCCATTGACCTGTAATTGGTATGATTAGATTATGTGTTAAAACATTTTTTTTCTGAAAAAAAAATCTTTGAATTCAGTTCTCCTGGTTTGGGATATATGTAGAAGAAACTGAGAGTGAAGAGCCTGGAAACTTAACTCAGTACCTTAAGACACACTGTATCAGGATTTTCTTTGTTTTATTTGCATACCTTTTCCATCTCTGTCCAATCCCATAAGCATAGGCTGTCTTATGAGAAAGTGAATGACTCATAGTGAACAATAAAAACTAACTAGAATAATGTCCTTGTAATTCAGCACATTCTTCTATATTAATGGAGAGTCCAGCTACATTTGGGCTAATATTATTATGAGAAAAAAATTTGGAGTGGTGATGAGAATAGAAACCCGAGGTCAGTCGCTGTTCTTGAAGACACTGGTTTTGACAGCACATTACTTCCGTCTTACTAAGCATGTCCTCAAGAATGTCTGTTAATCTGGTTGTTTGAATATACAACATAGCTCCTTACATGCCTTGTGACTGACTTGTAAACTTGTGGGAAGCGGTGCACCAAAATGCTCTTCAGCCTGGAGCTTCTGTATGTTTGGGGACTTCTTTAAGTCCTGAAGTTACAGGATTTTACAAAGGATTCTTGTCAGTTACAGCCCTAAATTTAAGTTGTCTTGGATTCTTAGTGAGTCTGTGTCCATTGCAAAGAAGATAGTTGATTTAATATTTTATAGCTAAGGGAATTATAAAATGCCTCAATGTTTGCCATAAAATGAAAAGATCACATGAAAATGTCACTTTTCTCACCTGCTTATAGTTTCCTGTTGCGATAAGTGTGATGCAATTACTAGCTGAGAAAATATTTTTTTAAAAAGCTGGAATGCCCAAATACCCAAGTCTACCACATCATTGCTAAGCCAGCTCTTCAGTGAGTCTAGCTGTCACTGTATGGATGGGGATAAGATATGAAGCAGGCAAAGACTAAATAACCACATGATGTCAACGTAGCCAGGGACAGAAGTAAAAGTAAAAGGCTTTTCTTTCATGACAGGATCCATGGTCTTAAGGATACAGATAATCTAGGGTTACTATTTCTCAAAGAGGGCAATCAGTGAAAAATATAAATGTCTGAAGATAAATCAGATTTTCTAAACAAGTCATCATATTACAGGGACTTTGAGCTCCTTAAAATGGCCGAACACAGCTAGTGAATGACAAGTAATGTTTTTTTCTTGTGCTGCTAAAAAAACAAGATGAGTCGGATTTACCTCAGCAGTGGCTGGCTTGAAGTACCATGGGGAGATGGTGACTTAGGTATGGTATAGATCTTTCTAAAACTGTATATATGTAGATATTAAACCGTGTGTGATTTTGCTCTTGCAGCATTTTATTTACAAAGCAGAGCAAGCTCTTAACCTGTAATAGTAAACCAGATGTCTGGGAACTAGTGCTGTTTCTAAATATAGTTACCCCTGCATAGCTCCACAGACCATAGCAATATGAATTTGATTAGCATGATGAAAGTTATATTTTGCTAGAAAAATTTCATACTGTTGATTTTTCTGGATGAGTTAAGCTGAACATTTGTTTCAAGTAAGGATTTTTTCTTTTATCCTACATACTCAAAGTATAAAATTGAAACACAAAATAGCCATATATTAAGATATTTATACCTTGTTTGATCTTGGAAAAAACATATAAAATAATATAATCATGTCCATATGGAAAAGTATGATATCTAACATTGAATATATTGAACAGCTACTTATAGTTGCTAAATTTCTGATACTGGGAAAAGCGTAGAGCAGGGAAGATATTTTGAAACAGAAATTAGAAACATGATCTAATATTCCTTGATTTTCATGTTGCCAACATTAACTACAGAAATTCTCATAAGAAATTAGAGGAAGCAAGTCATGTGAGGTTGCTTTGGAGTTAGTCAAGCACAATGGAAAATGAATAATTTTTGTATAGAATGGCATGCTTATTTATAAATAATTTAAAATTTAATAGATTGATTCATTCAGTGGCTGATTGATTAATTGATAAGGAAAAAGTGTAATGCTGTTACTTATTTTGGTCTAGATGGGACCAGTTGTTCTGAACATCAGTATAGTCATTAAGATGAACAGATCATTAGAATGCAAAAGAGAGCTTGCTGGAAGGGCTGCGGAGGTATTTGTTTTGTTGGTTCTTAAAGGCCTTCACGATGATAGAAAGGACTGGACCTAAAATAAACTTCAAAGGTCCTTTTGCTAGGCCTTTGTCAGTCTTAACATCTTGTTGTCTTAGCTAGTGACAGTTGGAAAATGTGTACTCATAATGAAGTAAAATCATATTATTTTGTGTCTGTCTTTAGGATAAAAAAATACTGAACTTTATTACATCATTAAATAGTAACTAAAAACCTGACATTGTAAACATGATAAATGATTGGATTCAATCATGTATCAAAGTATTAAATTGTAACTAAAAACCTGACATTGTAAACATGATAAATGATTGGATTCAATCATGTGTCTAAGCATTGATTATTTGAAATTCAGAGATTTCCTACATCTCTATTGATGAAATTGAGTGTAATGGTTCCCAGTATGCAATCTATTTGGAAAGGTGACATAATTTTCATATTTTCTTGCTTGAGTATTCACAGTAAGAATTTACCTACATTTTGAAGTCCTCGCACGTTTTATTTTTCATTAAATATTTTAGTAACAAAGTGAACAAACGTGAATGATTTGTAAGGCATTGCATTCCATCTTGGACTCTCTCAGTCACAACACATATATGGATGGAGGTCAGAAGACAATTAATGGGAGTTGGCTGTCTCCAACAATCACCTGGATTCCAGGAGTCCAACTCAAGCTATCCAACACCCTTGCCCACTGAGCCACCTGACCCACCAGGAAATTATTTTTCTTGCTTTTTGTGAATGGTGTATTGCCTGGGTGTATTTCAGTTTGTATATATGTGGATGTGCACACAGGTGAATTGTTCAGACTACATGTAAAGTGCTTAGAACAGTTTCATACACATAGTACATCTCTTTTTTAAAAGATTTATTTATTTATTACAGATACAGTTTGTCTACATACCAGAAGAAGGCATGCAGCAGATTGAATTATAGATGGTTGTAAGCCACCATGTGGTTGCTGGGAATTGAACTCAGGACCTCTGGCAGAGCAGTCAGTGCTCTTAACCTCTGAGCCATCTCTCCAGCCCCATAGTACATCTCTTTAACATTAACCATTACCACCATGACTTACAAGCAAACAGTAAACAATGTACTCTTGCCCCCTCTACCTTTGTATTTCTGTTTTAAATAAAACACTATTATGCCATTAGACAGAAAGATACTGTTGAGTGCAGAGTGACCTCAACCCTCTGTGTCAGACTCATGTGCTTATTTTCCTTGTCACATGTATCCAGACTTTATTCAGTGAAAATATTTCAGTATCGTTTACAGGGTTCTTGTCAAGCTTGTGGAAAGATTATATTACTGATTCATAAGTAGAGTCAAGTGGGCTTTTGAATTCTCTAAAAGATGGAAATAATGAAATCAATTCTAAAACACAACATGCTTCTGTACTTATATCACCAATAATTTCATAATATAAACAAATTTTAGATTTGCAATGTTGACTAATATCCAAATGACTTTTAGTTTTGTAGTAAAATTTAAAATTTTTATTTATCCTATCCTATGTAATTAACAGGGGAAGAGGAATAGACAGGAAGATATATATTAGTATCCATAACCATACATTTTAAGAATATATTCTCGGCTAGGTGGTGGTGGCACACGCCTTTAATGCCAGCACTCGGGAGGCAGAGGCAGGAGGATCCCTGTAAGTTCAAGGCCGGGCTGGCTTCAAAACAATACAGAGAAACCCTGTCTCGTAAAACCAAAAAAAAAAAAAAAAAAAAAAAAGGAAAGAAAGAAAGAAAAAAGAATATTTTTTCTTCAGTCAGTGTTGCTTTTATTTCTTAAATTTTATTGAAATAGCTGTTTTCTGCCACACCTCATCTGGTTATTTAATCACTTTAAAGCCTATAATATTACCATTAATATCCATTCAATTAAACCAATAGAGGAAAGACTGGAGCTCCTTTAATTGCAGGAAAATCATGGTGAACTAGCCTAGCAATCTTTTTACTGCTGCAGTGATCACAGGGAGAGAGAGATAGGAGCAGTTGATGTGTCTTTTGGAAGAGAAGGAAATGAGGGGCATGACATCTAGGTTGGGAGCTAAGTGCCCTGGCCTACCCACATCTAATACTTGGAGAATGAGTGATCTACAAGTGAGCCTTTGACAATATTAGCACCATTTCCAAAATAGCTGACCCTGTGTCCCCTTTGAGAACCACTTTCTGGGACCTACCTAGACTATGCCATGATTCAGACTCAGGACTCAACTACTTGACCTTCTTAGCAACATGTAGCTCATACATATCAGAACCAGGAAAATCTGAGGCCTGGTGTTAGGAGATGATAGGGTAGGCTCATAATATAAAGGCATGAGTATGGCTCCTAGCACTCCTAAAAATACAATAAACACATGCATCTCTGCTTATATATGGGAAAGTGTGTAGTTCAAACTTTGGGCCTTTTGTGTGGCCCATCTTCTTTGGTTAATAATCTAGTAGATACTGTAAGTCTGATGTAAGTCAATTCTAAAGCAAATCCAGCCCTCTGGATTCGCAGACTCATTAGATGCATACTTCTGCTAAGGATCATGTTTCCTAAAATATGGGACCAGTAACCGGGACACTTTGTTGAATGCTGGATGCGAATAATTTCTATTGAACCTAATAGAGCTTATGTTGACCCACATGGTCTTGTTATCATTATTTTTTGACAGGCTCCTGGGCAGATCGATCACCGCTGCATGAAGCTGCAAGTCAAGGTCGTCTTCTTGCTCTGAGGACATTATTATCACAAGTAAACCATTACATTATACTTCAAAATAAGCCCCCTTCCCATGAGCAAACAACACTGTCAAAAGCAAATCCATTCGAAAGTAATAAACTTATGTGCTACCACTGCTCTTCCCTAATAACTTGTGTCAGATCAGACAGGACAATAGTTTCTGTTTTACATTTGAAATTCTTTACTGATTCTTTTGTTATAATGTTATGTCTTCCTATTTAAAGTTTCCCTTATAGTATATTTGGTCATTAACATGGATATTTAGAAATTAGTTATTGTATTTAAGTATTACTTATTAAACATTCTAAGCATGCCTATTTTGTGTAGTATATACAGCTAATTATAGACTTAGTTCAATCATATGGCTCCAAAGAGGTAACCAGACCAGATGTGAAAACAGCATGTTTTACATTTACATTTATGAAACGCTATGGTGAACTGCCTGTGAAGCCAGTGCTCATTTCTAACCCTGCCTACTCCACCTGAGTGAGCAGAGGGAGAAAGAAAAGCATAGATTCCTCCTGCAGACAAAGTGGTCAAGCTTGGATCAGTGCATCACATATTGTAATGTATGCTCAGTGTGCAGTCATAGGTGATTCCCAGTGTCACAGAGGAAGGAACTTCTCAGATGGCTATGAGAAAGGGAGGTTCCTAGCAACATAGTTTGAACAACATCTGACACTTTACACAGCCACAGCCACAGCCTACCCGAGTTTCATTTTCTCACCATGAAGATGTGTCCAAGGTGTTCCCTTGGAGTGTCCAGTCCTGTGACAGCCATGTGACTGTTTTGTTCATCACTTCATAGTGGGGGAGGACCTGTGTAAAAAGGCCAGTGGTGTCAAAGGATAATCCCTTGGAGAGGGTCACATAGTGCCTTCAGAGGAAGGCAACCCCAGTGTTTCTCAATGTGTCTCCTCCCCACACAGAATGCCAGCCAGGAAGAGGGAGATGCTCCCGCAGAGCCCTCTCATATGCTTCCATCATCTGGACACACTAGGACATAGCAGTGTCTCCTCAAATTAGACTGGGAATGAGATCTTGGAAAGGAAGAGGACAGAGCTGATTTTAAAAAAATTCCACTTACTAGCAATAAAGATGCAGTTGATTGTCTATGCCTGTGCCTTCATTGTGTTCCTGTGTTCAATTTATGACACTCGGTACTATGCTAGGAAGGTCTTGCCTTGAAACATCATATAAAGTTCTTAGTAAAATGATCATTAATAGACAATGAATTGCTCATGATACCCAGAAGGCACATAATCTTACATTCTAATAACTTTATATGATTTAGCCTGATTCTGTAAGCTAAATTAGCACAATGTTTATTAGGCTAGAAAATGAAAGGAAATCTGTATTTCCACGCACTGGGAACTGTAATAATTGTTGTATAACTATTGTCCCATTTAACTCTCATGACCATAGTAAAATTAGAACTCAAAATATCTATCCAGATTTTCATGATTTTTGTGAGTCCAGCTTCAAAAACAAATGTAACTTTGAAGACAGTTCTAGACTTTTCTGTATAACTTACTCCTATTGAATAAATAACTGTTTAGTAGCATGTTCATAACTCAATTTACTAAAATTGATTTTTACAGTCTGGATTGACCACTGATTTTATTATCACAGTCCAAACAAGTTATGCAGCTTATAAAACGTCTTTAATTCTATAAAGTAAAAAATAGAGAACCAGCATCCCACCAAAGATCTTAAGAAAAAGAACTTTAAAGAAATTATGCCAGATCTATTAACACAATACTTAAGATTATTAGGTTATGGTGCTACAGTAATAGCAGGGTTCATGAGCCTCAATCATGTTTGTGAATGGGACACATTGCCACATTGCAATAATTACATGCTTATAGGCACAGTGCAATAAAATATGTTTATAAAGTATAATGACCAAATCAAGGTTGCTAACCTTTCCATCTCACACATTCTAAATTTGTATTGCCCCTTAATAATTGTGCATATTTGTTGAGTATAGTAAGATATTTCAACACAGGTATTCACTGTGGCTGGGCAAACCAGAATAATTGATTTATATATTCGCTTCTCTCATTACAGAGACCAGTTATCCTACAAGAAACCACTGGGTAGGGGGGAATGTTTGCTCTGGCTGACATGCAGGGAAGGTTGGGTAGCTAGGTCTCTGGCTGGAGTGAGACGCCAGCTGCTCACACAGCTTGTCATGTTTCCACAAAAGAGAAGCAGAGCAGACTGGCCAGAAGCAGCAGGAACATAACCATAAACTCATCCTTAATGAAAGTGGTCCACTTTACCCGTTAGGCCTTTCCTCTTAAAGGCTCCAGGACAGAATTACAAGGGAAAACGAGACAGAGTATTAAGTAAGCAGTTGACACAGAAAGACAAGTACCACGTCTAGAGGAGCTTTGAAAGGTTGACTTGAAGACAGAATAGTGATCAGATGACATCACAGTAACCTGGCATGCATACTGTGCATAACTAGAAAAGGGTAGGCTAGGGAGTTTCAACAGCTGACCAGCTCAACTACTGCACTGGAAACAGACTGACTAGATTCTTCCATGTCTACACAGTCTCTGTGACATTTACAGGGATGGTGTTGTCTGCCTTCTTGTCTCACTGTAGGGTTATAATGTAAATGGAGTAACCATAGACCATGTCACCCCACTCCACGAGGCCTGCCTGGGTGATCATGTGGCATGTGCAAGGACTCTTCTGGAAGCTGGAGCTAATGTAAGTTTTAAAAAGAAATTATGAATTTCACATCTACTGACCAAGAGAATCAAAGTTCTCCTCTTATTTTTTCTTTCCTTCTTTCTTAATAGTTTTGAAAACATAACAATACAAACAATGTCCTAGGACTGCCTCAGCCTTCTCAGGACACTGCAGAGGAATCCAGTCATTGTATAGAGTAGTACACCCATGATCTTTAGATTTTCTATTTTTGTGAGTCAAAATAACAACAGATGTGCATCCCTATATTGGGTCTTTGCTTGTATTCTGAACAAGTTTTCAAAAATAAATTCTCAAAAATAATAGTCGTGGTGAATGCCTGTATTCTTGGATCTTTGGAGGCAGAGTAATAAGGAATTTGAGGCTAGTTCAGGCAACCTCTCTCCTCCCTCTCTCTCTCTCTCTCTCTCTCTCTCTCTCTCTCTCTCTCACACACACACACACACACACACACACACACACACACACACACAGACATACCATCTCAGAATAGAACTGATATACCACATTTAAATCATTTAAATATCCACAAGTAATATGTTTGTTGTATTGGCTGATAAATAAAGCACTATTGGTCAATAGGGAAGCAAGCTAGGTGGGACTAGGAGTCAAGGAGGATTCTGGGAAATGTAGTAAAGAGTAGGAGTCTCCATGTGATCCCAGAAAGAGAGGACACATGAGGCTGGCATCCTCAGAAAGACAAGTCCTTGTAAAAATATATAGATTCGTAGTTATGGGTTAAAAACTAATCAGAGCTAGCCAATAAGAAACTATAACAAATGGTCAACAACTTCATAATTTAAAACAATAAATAAATAAATAAATACCCACAAGTAAAGTGGCCTCGTCGTTTCCTTCACCATTACCTGTTTCTTTCCTTTTTGATTTATTGTTGTATTGGTGTGAATCCTGTATTTGAATGTTGGTTTTTCAATGAACAATAGTAGAGGGTCCATCCCTGTAACTTTTCTCCCACATTATGTTTCTACTTATCTCTTGAAGGTTTAAAGCTTCTCTCATTGATGTTTATGAAGTAAATACCAATTGTCATATTTGCAGTGCACATTTTCATTTGGCAAATCATGTAACTTTTAGCAATGCCTAAATAAGTTGCTTAGTCCTGCATGATTTATGACTCTCATGCTCAGATTTTGGATATGGTTTAGGCAAATGCAGTCACGATAGATGGTATAACTCCCTTATTCAACGCGTGCTCACAAGGCAGTGCAAGCTGTGCAGAACTGCTTTTGGAATATGGTGCCAAAGCCCAGCTGGAGTCCTGTTTTCCATCTCCAACACATGAGGCTTCGAGGAAAGGTTAGTTACGGAGTTAAGAGGGGGAAATATCCTAGGGCATGCATGTACCTATTGGTCCTTCAATGAATTACACTTCTGTGGGAAACATGAATGGAGGCACTCGTTCAAGACAGATAATTAACAAAAAAGTAAAGCTGTCTTTTCTTTGCGTTGGCAGGGCACCATGAATGTCTCGACATTTTGATATCCTGGGGCGTAGACGTTGACCAAGACATTCCTCACCTGGGAACTCCCCTTTATGTAGCTTGTATGTCACAGCAGTTCCATTGCATCTGGAAGCTTCTTTATGCTGGTACTTTTCCATTTTGTCCATACTCATACACAATAATTTGTTCATCTTACTCAGCTTCTTTTAAAAGTCATATTTCATTGTGAAAAGGTTCTTATTTTAAACATTATCACTTATGCATATATAACTTATTAAATATATCTGATAATTCAAAGCTCATAGATGAGTCTACATCTGAGTATACTGCATCTGAGTCATCAATACAACATTTGTTACATAATTGAGCCTTTCCTTATAATCAGTCATAAAATTAAGATTCTCCAGACTGAATATAATATTGCTAGGTATGTAAACAAATCCCACAAAAACTTAGGGGCTCTGGGTACTTGGATAACCTTATTGCCTTTCAACCATAAAAATCCATGGACTGTCCTAGACTTCATTCTTTCTGTCCTGTGACTTGCAAAGATTGACTGCCTTCTCCACTAAGTTCCTCAAAGCTCAGCTTTTGTTTCATGAGAAACAATCCTAACCTGTTCAGAATTGGTGTTCTCTCCCACATTAGAGCTGGGAACTTCTTGGAGTTGGTCTATGCCTCCCCTCATCATTTATTTCTCTGTCATGTGGTAGATACTTAGGATATACATGAATGAGGTACTAGGCTTTTATGCTTTTTATTTTGTTTGTGGCATACACACACATATATATACATATATATGTATATATATATATGTACATATACATATGTTACATACTATTTACTTACAGTATATTCAGGCATACAATTTTAACAACCCCTCTACATATAACTCACATTATCTTACCTGACCTATAAATGCCTAATAAGCAGAACTTACATTCACTATTTTATTCACATTGCACATAGAATCTTAAATATGAATTCTGTTAATATAGATACATTCTTATTTCCTAGACAAATTAGCCATACATTTAGAATAACCAAGATAGTATATGTTTTATCATGCATCTTCATTTTTTGAGAAATATTTTCACCAAACACTTTAACACATGTTAAAGAAAAAACATTGAAAATTGCTGTTAGCAATGCTTGATTGGTTGCTGTTTTCAGGCCCCTTTGTTCTCATAAAGTTGATAAGTCCAATGGAGTTTATGATTTCTTTAACGAAATTTGGTCAAGAGATATTTCTTCACTAGATATTTTATAATTGTTTAAAAATACTGAAAGCAATTATTTCTGCCAAAAGTTCAAGAGAGCTATGAAGGAACTTAAGATGAATCGATTCTTGTGGTAAGGATACTTTTACAAACTATCAGAAAGCTGGGTCAGAAAACATGTATGACCTTTAGTAGTAGGTATTTTCTTGCTTTCTGACATTTATATATTAGACAATGGTCTTACTAGACTCTTACAGTGTTAAATATCATCTGCTCATTACATGGTCATTGAAAGTAAGTAAGCAACACAGAATTTTGTAGGTAGGCTTATGTTTCTCAATGAGAATATTTTCAAAAGTTTGAGATTTTATGCAGATATCAATTAAATGTTTTTCCACGGCAGAGGCTTAATGTCTTTATGTGTTCACTGACTGAAACTACACAAGTGAAAACTGACAGGTAAATCTATATACATTTCACCTAAATGACTCATATATTTATATCCATGAGTTTTTAAAGACACCAAAAAACTTTCTTGCCTTACGTGAAAATAATAAAAGTAATATTATTCCAGATAAATTTTAAGAACTATTATACATGATAAAACTAGGTATGTGAGAACTTAATAATGCCTTTATGCTGGTAAGATGGCTCAGTGGATGGCATTTGCCTTGCACGCCTGATAATCTGGAGATCCCGTGAGGATGGAAGTAGAGAAATGACTCCTTGAAGTTGTTCTGTGACCAAAAAATGCACATTATGGCATACACACCTGCACGCATGCGTGCATGAGCAGGTGCGCACGCGCACACACACACACACACAAACACACACACTCACACACACACACACAGAGTACTGATAAGTAAATAAGAACCTTTTCAAAATTGTAAGTCTCTTTCTTCTGATATCTAAGATGTCAGAAAAAAATACCCAGAAAAGTATTTGAATATAACTAATATGCATACCTCTACATCCAGAGGTAACAAATTTATGTATATCTATTTATCTGTCTGTCTGTCTGTCTATCCACATGTATGTTTATATACAAAACAACTTATTCCCAATAAAGGTAGTTACTCATAAATAGTTGCTTTTTTAAATCATCCCTGCCTGTTTACATATAGGTGCTGATGTACACAAAGGCAAGTACTGGGACACTCCACTACATGCTGCTGCTCAGCAACCCAGTACTGAAATTGTGAACTTATTGCTAGAATTTGGAGCAGACATCAATGCCAAGAACACAGAACTTTTGCGGCCTGTTGATATGGCTACATCTAATAGTGCTGTAGAAAGAGTACTTCTTCAACATGAAGGTAGGGAGAATATATGCAAACGTTTACAGATGCAAAAATATACATCCCTAAAGCAGACGAAACTGAAAAGTTCTTTGTTACCATATGAAGTAGCAATGGCATAAAATTTCAAATATTGTGAGAACTAAAAAATTCAACTTGGGTTCTATGCAAGGAAAATATGATTTTAAGATTTTATTGTATATAAACCTTTATGTTCCTTTAGTAAAATATGTTGAACTTGTTTCAATAATGCATAGTATGCAGGTTTTGGATCCAATATCTACTTACATGCACTATTTTTAAAAATACTTGGGCACATGGCACAGTGACACACGCCTTTAATCCCAGTACTTGGGAGGCAGAGACAGACAGATATCTGTGAGATTGAGGCCAGCTTGGTCTACAAAGCAAGTTCTGGGACAGCTAGGGCTGTTACACAGAGAAACCCTGTCTCAAAAAAATGACAATAACAAAAACTGGGTGCAGAGTAATTGAGCCATAGGTAAAACACAAAACACACTAGCACATGCTAGGTCAGTTCTCTCTACCAGAGAGTCATATTTCCAAGCAGCAGAATTCCCCCCGCTCCTCCATGCCCCCCCCCAGTTGCTTTTTGGGTTTTTGTTGTTGTTGTTGGCAGGGTTTCTTGTATTTTGTGTTGCCATGAATTCACTAGATATCCAAGGACAACTTTGAAATTCTAATCCTCTGACTGTGACTCTCAAAAACTGGGATTATAGACATGAGCCACCAAGCCTAGTTCATGCAGTATGGTGGGACAAACTAGAGTTGCATGTATTCTAGGCAAGGAGTTACCCACCAAGCTCCATCCCCAACCCATTCATGCCCAATTTTATAAGGCATGGTGCATGTTCTGTAGTGTGCCGTCGACACACAATAAGAAAAGGTTTTTTTTAACCTTTAAGATTTTTTTCTTAAGCAAATTTTGTAAACGTTAGTTCAGAATATAATTGCAACTTAAAATTTTGCTTTTGTGATATACATCTTGGTTGTTTTGATTTAGATTCCCTTTAAAGATAGGAATTTGTTCTGAAATTTTCAGTGAAACAATAATTTTATAATCTTTAAGATAATTACGTTTTTTATTATTTATTTGTATTTTGCATATGCAAGCGTTTTGCCTGCATGCATGTAAGGGCATTGCGTGCTTGGTACCTGCAGAAGCCAGAAGAGGGCACCAGTTCCCTTAGCATTGGAGTTAAAGATGGTTGTCAGCCATTGAATCCTGTGGGTACTGGGACCTAATTCCAAGTCCTCTATAGGAGTAGCAAGTGTTCTCAAATGCTGGCCACATCACCAGTACTTTGAAGACTATAATGTTTTGAAAAACATGTATGAGATATTTCTCAATCATGAGCTATCTCAAGATCTCACAAATAAAGGCAATATAAATAATAAAAGACACTTGCCATTAGCCAAATTAGCTTACTGTTTTTAGGCTTTTAGTTAATAGAACTTATCACATGTAAACATCCATTTTCTAACTAATATATCCTTGTTTTCTCGTAGCTACGCCAAGTTCTCTTTACCAACTCTGTCGCCTCTGTATCCGCAACTACATCGGAAGACAAAGGTTGCATCTTATCCCCCAGCTTCAGTTACCAACGTTGCTGCAGAATTTCTTACAGTACCGATAACACAGTAAATAGTTTTACATTCTTTGAAAGTCAAAAATTTCTATTTCACTTTCTTTTTAAAATATAGAATGATACAGGTCACCTGGGCAAGCAGTGAAATCTCACCAGATTTTCATTTAAAGAATGCTCATTAGTACTGTTAATGAGTTTTTATGGTCTTTTGGATTATGTTTAAAATATCTACACTATGTTAGCTATCTCAGTGTACCCTCTTGGCTTTGGGGAAAATGTATTCACTTTATGTTTTATGTTATAGAGCACAAAATTGCATACTTTTACTAAATTTTTAATTCAATTATAAATTTCATACTATATTACACGTTGAAGGATCTGTATTCCTCAAATAATGGGTTAACTGTAATTTTCAGCTACTGCCATTGGTTATCTCTGTGTTTTTAATATTGACAAAAATTCTAGAGCAACTAATATGCTTTTTGAAATAAAAATGAATTATACAGTTGCTGTTGTAATGATCAATTTACAAGAGTAAGATAATCTCGCCTTCTCTGTACTGAGATCTCCAATTTGCTTTTACAGAGGTAGTCTTGTGATAGACTAAACAGTAGGACTAAAAGTTAGTCCTGACCTTGCAATGACAGATGTAGGAGGTTAAACACCTGTGAGAGCTATTTGAAGACCTTCTCAAGGGATGTTTCACAAGCTCTGGCCTAAGTGCTTTCAGATGTTTCCCTACTCTTCTCCTAGTTCAAAAACTGTCAGTACCTAACAGTAGCAGGCTGAAGAAAATGGACTTTATGCCTTGCTGATGAAGTCCTGAGTTACATTCTGGGGCCATCAATTCATACAGTGAGTTCTATATCCCAGAATAGTGTGTGCCAGGGCTCCCTAACTCCTTAGTCTCTACACTTTAGGTGACTGAGAGTGAGTCTTGATGAGTGAACCTGTTGACTTCAATCTTTGAAATGGGGTCAATTCAATGATCAAGGAAACAGATGAATTCATTCCATATCCCATTTCTTGTTTGACACTAGGAGGAAAAGGAGTTTCTTACCATGAAAAACTACACATATCCCTACTGCAGGGGTTCTCAACCCTTGGGTTATAACCCCTTTAGGGGTCAAATAACCCTCTCATGGGAGTCACAAATTAGGTATCCTGGATATCAGATTGTTTTTCTTGGCCTAATGGACAGCAGTTTGTAATAGTGATATCAGATATTTACATTACAATTCATAACAGTAGCAAAATTACACTTAGCAAGTAGCAACAAAAATAATTTTATGGTTGGGGTCACCACAACATGAGGAACTGTTTTAAAGGGTCACAGCATTAGGAAGGTTGGGAACCACTGCTCTAGCAGAAGGAGCTTAGAAGAGGCATATTAATATTCCCTAAGAGGAAGGTGATATACATGTGTCATTGGCTGATAAGGGGAGACATAGGACTCTGACACAGTGCAACCTACAGAAAACTCACATCAGAAAAGACAGACAAGCAAGCAAAAGATTATTCCGTAATGTGAATACAGGTCTGCACTGGTCCTAAAGATAGTCAAATCTACAATCCTACTGAAAACATTATTCTTGAAAGAGTAATGTTTTTAGTTAATTGTTCGTGGAAATGTAGTTTTAAGATATGCATTAGATGTGTTCTAGGCAGAGGCCAGCAACATGATGCCTTGACATGTTTTCTATCTATAGTATTATGAACCTTCTTTAATGTGAGGATCCTTTCGATGTGAACACATCTCAGCCCCATAACATAACATTTGCCTTCCTGACACACTTAAGGCTTGAGGGAAACAGCTCTTGGCAGTTGAACACAAATACTGAGAGTGGATTCCATAGAAATATTCTCAGAGATAGATTTCCTTCCTGGAAAAAGTAGAGTAAAAGTGGAGAGATTTGGATTAACTAAGTCATTCAAATCGTTCCTCACAGAAAGTGAGAGACTACTGAATTGGCTGAGTTTGACCACATTTTACTTAGGAAAGGGAAGCTTGAGGTAACCAAAGCAAATAAATTCTGTTTAGAGTAGACGTTTTGCAAAATGAGCATATAGTTTGTCCAGTTTTCACTCCCAACATATGGTTTTCATAGGCCAAAATAATTTTTAAATATTTTTGAGCCCCAAAGTTATTTGTAAAAAGATTCAGCAAGGGCTTACGTAATAGGTTAGATGATAAAATCTCCTGTCATTCAGAGGACTTGATTCAACCCAAATAACCCACATAAATGTTGAAAACTATGTGATGTGGAGTACTTTGACACACACACACAGATGGGCTTTGGGAGGATGATACTGAGTGTGATTCTCTTGCAAAGCTGAACAGTTTTATGCATCAGATGACAACATTGTAGCAATTTTCAAGTTTGACTGATAGATTTTTTTTTGCTGTCCAGAAACGATGTAGCCAACTTTGTCCTCCTGTATAGCTATTCATACATGATATTATGATACATAATATCACCCTGGGAGAAGTCGTCCTTTCTGGTTTTCAGGTGGGGAGTCCGCCAGTCATGCCTGAACACAGAGTACAGGGGAAAAATAGCCACGGTACTGGTTATATTTGTCAAGTTGATACAAACTAGCGTCACCTGGGAAGAAGGAATGCCAGTTGGGGAATTTTCCCCATCAGGTTGACATGTAAGATATATTTTTCTTTTTATTCATTTTTTTATATTTATTATCATTTATTACAACATTTCTCCATTCCCTTTCCTCTCCTCCAAACCTTTCCTTATACCCCTCCCTACTCTCCTTCAAACTCATGGCCTCCTTTTTTTATCCATTGTTATTGTTCACATATCATTTTCTTATTGTTAATAGATACAGGTAGGCCTAGTTCACTGTGGGCAGTACTATGCCTAGGCAGGCGGGCTTGTGCTGTGTAAGACAAGCAGACCAGCGAAGCTACAGGGAAGCCAGTAAGAAGCATTCTTTCGTAGTCACTGCTTCAGTTCCTACTTGCGGGTTCCTGGCTAAGCTCCTGTCCTGGTTTCCTTTTATGATGGACTCTAACCTGGAAGATACAATAAACCTTGTTCTGCCCAAGCTGTCTTTGGTTACTGTTTTTATTGATGCCCAAGACAATGAAATGATACTGGATTCAGAGAGGCATCTTTGCCTTGTGTCTGTCTATTTACTGCCCTCAAGAAGTGGAACCTGCTCCTGCGACTCATGTTCAGATGGGTCGAGTTTCTTACCATGACTAAGAAATACGGTAAAAGCAATATGAGACTGTTTGATGTGGACCTCTGAAAACTTCTGTTTTCATGTGAAAGACTGAGGCCACCAAAGGAAGAAGCCTAGACTGGTCTAATAGAAGGTGAGAAAATGTGGAGAGAGCACTTAGTGACCCAATACCCAGAACCAACCATGTGAGTAGGGTGGATTAGTTTCCTTTCTATTGCTTTCATAAAACTCCAGGACCAACACAACAATGGAAGAAGGGGCTTGTTTGGGCTTATGGTTCAAGAGCAGTGGTTCTAAGCATTCCTAATGCTATGACTCTTTAATACAGTTCCTCATGTTGTAGTGACACCCAACCATAAAATTATGTTTGTTGCTACTCCATAACTGTAATCTTGCCAACATTATGAATCATAATGTAAATATTTTTGGAGACAGATGATTGCCAAAGGGGACTTGACCCCACAGGTTGAGAACACATGTTCCAGAGGGATGAGAGTTCTTTGCCTTCATAGGAGGCTGCCGTAACAGAAAGCTCAGAGTTTACAGCTTGAACACAATCTCAAAACAGATAAAGAACTGGGAATGGCCATAGGCTTTAAAACCTCAAAGCCCATTTCCAGTGATACACTTCCTCCAAAAAGACTAGTCCTCCCTAAACCTTCTCAAACAGGCCAACAACTGGCAACCAAGTATTCAAATGCATGAACCCATCCAAACAACATGTGGCCATTCTGGGTCATGTTTCCCTGTAGCAGGTTTTCTCTTGGGCCACCAACCAGTTCCCAAGATATGACTTGGAGGAGACATATTATTAGTTTTCGAATGCTCAGCCTTAGCTTAGCTTATTTTAATCCATTTCTCTTCACCTGTGCTTTGTCTTGGGCATTTTACATTTCTTTGTGTATACCCTCCTTTCACTGCTCCTTGTGTCTGGCTGGTAACGCCTGGCTTCTGGCCTTGGGCATGTGCCTCTTCTTCTCCCTCATTCTCTTCATTCCTTCTTCTCTCTCATTCCTGGATTTCTCCTCCTACTTTTTCTCTATGCTTGCAACCCTGCCTAACCCTCTCCTTCCTAGCTACTGACTGCTCAGCTTTTTACTAGACCAATTAAGCACCTTAGGCAGGCAAGGTGAAACAAATGAAACACATCTTTACATACTTGAACAAATGCAGTGCAAACAAATGTAACACATCTTTACATCATTAACAGAGGCAGTGGAAACAAATTTAACACACCGTCACATAGCTAATGTAATATTCCGCAGCATAAACAAATGTAACATCTTTACCTAGTTAAAATAATATTCCACAACACTCCCAATATACAGTAGACAGAGAAGTAAAGCCATATTATTAACTTTAAGCAGGGCCAACAAACAGAACCAACTGAGTCCAGCCCAAGTGCTGCTACATATGATTGTATGAAGAAAGTCTATTTTTATATGATTTAACCAGGAAGTGTCATACAGTTCTATTATAGAGCTGTAGATACCAATGAAATAGATATATCTCATGCCAGGGGTTTGGGAATCCATTCATCTTATTTCTGTACTTCTCAGTTACTGTCTTTCCTTATTCTATAAGGAATTGTGAGGGGCTCCACTAACTGCATGTGGGTTAGAGTGTCTATTACTATTGATGATGAACTAAAGTCTTGTCATTTCTCTGTTTAACATCTTCAGCCCATCAAGTTGTTTAAGGGGAGAATTTTGAGGTAACCAAACAATAGTAAATTGGGGGAATAAAGACATACTGTTATTGGCATCTTATGCCCAATACCATTTCTCACATCGAATCCCCCAAGTTGAGTCTGTGGGTTGAAGCTTCATGGATAATCTATAGAAAACCATATCCTCTTTCATCACTATAAAAGCATCTCATGCTGCTTACAAAAAGGATCAGATTTTCCCCAAAACCATATCTAATGACAGCAGCAATGATGAGCACTTAAGCTAGTGAAATATTACTCAAGTTCCTCTGATTAACTTTGATTTCATACGTGTTGGCTGAAAATATTGTCTGAATGTAAGTGACATGTTCCACTTGCAGCCCTTATGGATTAACAACCAATATATACCATCCATCTTTTTGTTTTTATTTTTGCTTTACCATGGCGACATCAGAGGCCACATGACCCAGAGGATCCTTCTGAACCATCCTGGATCCCTCTGTTCAGCTACACTTATGTCAACTTAACACTAGCTAAATTGAAAAGGAAACTTAGAAAATGACTCCCCAAATTGGTCTGCGCTCAAGGCCGTGTTTATGTTCTTGGCTGACTATTGATGTGGGAGGTCCAAGCTC